CCTGGCAATGGCCAGCTTCTCCACTCATGTCCTGAGCGTCTGTGGCTGTAGTGCCCTCTTTCAGTCTCCATTGGCTTCTAATACTAGTGATGCGGCTGGAAAAGTGGCGCTGGGATCTCCCGGAGTCTTGCTTCGCCTTCCACGTATGGGGGAAAAAGCCTGGCTCGGAGATTCTTGGGCGAATGTATATATTGTATATAGGTATGATTGTGTTTAGAAATTTTTATTTTATTTTATTTTTATTTAACTTCTTCACCAGTATTATTTATTTACTTATTATATTTATATTTATTTCTTTATTATTTGTATATATTGTATGAATGAGAACTTGTAGCCCTAATGCTTATAGCCCTCCAGCAGTGGCTGATTGTATTATTATTCAATAAACAGATTAAAAAAAAAAAAAAAAAAAAAAAAAAAAAGTGTCATTGGTGCGGCTTTGGCATAAATATTTTCCTGAACCTACTAGATTATTCAATTGATGACACATCAATTGAAAATTTTTAATATTTCTAACAAATATTGGTGGGGGTTTAGGTTCACTGGGGGTGGATACTGCTTCCATTTGTTCGTTATTTATATTTGAAAGCACTTCAAATAGATTCGAAGTGAAAAACGGCGATTCTTCGCCCATAGCTTCAGTTGTCTCATAATTGTTAGGTTGTTGTGAGGAGCCAGGTTGGGGTTCCACTTCTTCTATGGAACTCCCTGGTGTGGCTGGTGGAGTGTTTCTTTTCGAATGACTTGTCTTTTTTTTTAATGGAAGAACTCATTGTAGTATCGAGGCTCCTGGACCTAGTGTTTTTGCACTTACTCGACATTAGCATGTGATAATATCGCATTTCATATTAATTTTTAAAAGAAAAATTGATAAAAGTGAGGCGATGAAAAAAATATATTTTTATTGAAGACGAAAATATAGACGCGCGCTTGGAGAGCGCAGGTCTGCTTCCGACGAAGGGCTCCAGCCCACTAGTCAGATTAACGATGTATATGGCTGGCCGTTATCTAACTAACCTAAGGTCTATTTACACTGTTCACTCTTGTGTTGTAAATAAGTGATTACTCACCTTATTTTTTTGTCCAGTATCAAACGTAATTGTTAATGTAACTGATAACACTAATTGTTCACATTAAACTTGTATACTGCCACTGATAATTGAGATTTTTTAAGAGACGACCTGGCGTATGTTTAACTAGGGCTAAAGCATGCGCAGAACTGACTAAAACATTAGATATCATAATCAATGATGGGTGTCATCGACAATAAAGAATCATTTTATCGTAGAAACTTCTGAGTATATATGGTTATACTTAAAAATGAAAACAAGTTAGAATAGAACACATTTTTATTTGTTAATCCAACCATAACAGTGCATTTAATACTACTGCAATTAAAACATATGATGTATGTTAATTCTAATTTACTTAAAACATATGGTTATTGTTTAGGCTATAGACCTAATTGACTAGAGGACACATATGGACTAGAACTGTAGGGGAGAGCAAACTTTTTTAACATCAAACGTATCTAATCCTTTCAGTCCAAAATCCTTCGAACAGTAGTCGAATCTCCGTTCCACGTAATCAACAAAACTCTGCGCTATAACCTCAACATCCCATTTTTCCTAAACCTAATTCCAGAAAAATTCTTTTAATTCCATCAGAACCTTACATATCATCCACAGCTCCTTGCATAAACCCTATCTAGCTCCACCCATCCCAACAATCCTCCTTGAAGGTTGAAGTGGCAGTGGCCCATAAACCTTTTGTAAAAAAGTAATTGAGCCACCGGATGAGTTCTGTGAATGGATCAATAGTCTTGTAATTGTTGAAAAGCCCAACTCGTCTTTACGTTTGTGTATAAATCCCAATGATTTAAACAAATTATTGCTCAGAGATTATTATGGAATACTTACACTAGCGGAAATTAAATTAAAGCTTGCTAATAAAAGTCATTTTTGTTTATTTGATTTGAAATATGGTTTTCACCAACTCCGCCTTGACGATATAAATATTTACGAGCTCCTTTTGGGCTTTCAGTTTTGCCTGAGGTTTTTCAAAAATTAACGTTCAAGTATTTTGGTAATTTAAAAAATGTTGTTGACTATTTCGATGACATTCTGTGCTTTGCCGAATCAGGAGAAGAACTTAAAACCACAGTTGATTAGGTGATATACGTGGCCAGAAAATACAATATGAAGTTTAATGTTGAAAAAATTAAATATTTTGTAGACGAGGTATGATATTTGGGATTCATATTCACAAAAAATGGTTGTAAAGGGGATCAAGAAAGAATTGAATCCATTTTGAGTTTGAAACCCCCTAAGAAATGTCAAGGATTCTCAGAAAATATTGGGTATGATTAATTTTTTGCGAAATTTCATCCCTAATCTTTCCGAGTGCACCATTGACATCCTTGTTGAAAAAAGATTCTGTCTGGCTTTGGACAGACTAACATAATAATACTTTTGTCCAATTGAAGAAAATAGTATCTGGTATTTCTTTGCTTGCTTGTTTTGATCCAACTAAAAAAGTAGAGATCCAAGTGGATTCAAGCAGCCGTGCTTTGGGTTGCTCATTGTTACAAGAAGAGAAGCCAATTTTGTATGACAGCAGGGCCTTGACCTCTTGTGAGCAGGAGTATGCTCAAATCGAGAAAGAATCGTTGGCGATTACATTCGCATTTTCTAAATTCCACAATTATGTTTATGGTCATGCTAACGTTACGGTATATACTGACCATTATTCTCCTTTAACTTCAACTATTTTTAAAGATCTGGAAAAATAAACACGTTTTATATAAAACAAACTAATTTACGAAAGTTAAAATTACATATATAACCTTGTTCAAATAAAATAATGGTTTCTGTTAAAATAAAGTGTTTGAAACTTTATTTAATACATAAATTTTCAAAATGGGCCCAGGCAAGCTATCTTCCTAAAACTCGAAGGAACCAGGAAGCACCAGCTGGCAGATCTTCTCACTAAGCTTTTGCACAACCCCAGGCTCTGTGGTCTATGGAAGGGCAACGGACTGAAAGACGATTAAAAAAAAGATAAAAATCAGGAAAAGTTTTAAGGTTCATTTTAATGTTCTATTTTTTTCTGAATTAAAAAGCCATATGTTTTATCTAAAAAGAACTAATTTACAGAAGTTAAAATGACATGTATAACATAGTACTTTCTGTTAAAATAAAGTGTTTGGAACTTTATTTACTACATACATTTTCAACTTGTTCAGCCTCCACTGGTCCTTAATACCAGTGATGGGGCTGAGCAAAAAGCACTGGGATCTCCTATGGTCCTGCTATGAATGGGGGCTCAGCTCAGAGTTCTCCTGAGTGAATGAATTTTGTAAATATACTATAAAAGTATGTTTGTATTTCAGTTGTTATTTTGATTAGTTTAGTTTCTTTTTGTTTATATACATTTACTTTTATTATTATTATTTGACTGTGTGATGTCAGAAAATCACTTCAGAAAACAAATGAGGCTGTGTTAAAAACTTTTACTACCACAACTACGCAACACTCTTATTGCTCTACATAAACATAACACTATCAGCAACAAAGGACTACTACCCTCTGGGTAATCTCACCCAAAACAACCTACCTTTGTTTACAAACTACAGTGCTGCCTGATCACATATATTAACTCTACATACTTTTTTATTTACTGTACAAGAGTGGGAATGAGCTACTCTATCACTATTACTACTGTCTTTGAATGTGACAGAATAAAATAATACTCATTAAAGAATTGTGTTAATATTTTTATTTAGTTCTGGTATGACTAGAACTTATAGTTTTTCTATTATTTCCGAACTAAAACTTTTTCCCTATGGACATTTTTCATTAAAAATAGAACTCTTATTTGTAAAAATAGTAGTTTTTAAAGTTCTGTTCAATTCATAAATTTAAAATATGATAATTGTGCAGAACATTCTTAATATAAGAATCAGGTCATTGATTCAAGTTAACAAAAACTGTTGTTTAAGACCAATTACTGTTTATTTCTCTTTTTACTTAACTTTTTTTACGTACTTAGATAAATAAACGTTTGTAAAACTTTTACAATAAACCCAAAACGTTATTACAAAAAATGTTCTTTGAAAATTTTATTTTGAATTTTTTACATAATCGTTTTTATGTTAATAAATGAGTTCATGATTTTACTTTTTCCTCATTTTTTTTTACTATCAATTTTTTTTTTCACAGGATTTTTTTTTGCGTATGTATTTATATTCAATATAATTTATGTTCTTTTATGGTATTACAGCATATGTTGATATGCCATTTTTTCATGTTTTTTTGGCAAAGTAAGTTGTCTGAGAAATATAAAATAATTCAGACTTTAGGCCAGTTATGTTCTCTGTTGTTGCTGTATTTTTGAGTTATTCTTATATTGTCTAGTCCCAGAATAAAATTTATGTTATCACCATGCCAGACAGCATTTTCAGTATTATATTGTCTATGTGAATGATTTTATGATATAATGATTCTATTCCAAATATAATAAGTATTGTAAATGCATTAAGCAATATAAATTTTGTATATTCAGTGTTTTATACTGGAAATATACATTAAGATTATTAAATCATAAGGTACAATAAACAATATTATAAAATGGTTAGCAAGAAATATGAGTATAAAATTATAACTGAGTATAAGAGAATATAAATATATCAAAGTGCTATAGGCAGAACTAATCAGCCAACAGGACAATAGAAATTTTATTCTAGATTATTTTCACCCATTGGGACTATTGAATGAAGGTGTTGGACACAGTGAGGAGAATAGAAAGGACAGGATTGGGTTATGGAACTGATATTGTAGAACCTTACTGATGACATGAACATAAAGAAGAAATGGATCTGGTTATGGCATTAAAAAAAGAAGGCCTAATAATTATTGATGCTAAGAAATAAAGGAATGAATATTTTATAATCCACAAGGTCTAAAGAATAATAGACATGCTAAATGTTTTTTTTATTTTTTAATATCATTTGATTTCATTTAACTCAATAAATTATAAAATATAAAATATGATTGAAGAGTCCATTTTAAACAATTAAAAATTAAATTACATTATTTACATTGCACATTAAGATAATCAGATTGAAATAATACTACACTCCCAAGCTATGACTTAGCACATGCTACAAGCCACTTGATTACTCTTGCATTCCTTTCCACTATTGAAAGACCCGTATCTACACCTAAAAAAAAAAACAGAAGAAGAAAAGGATTTATAATTAGATGAACACAAAACTTTTGATAATATTTTAAGGTGACATATACATATAAGATATATAAATAACCCAACCAGTATCTTGTTCTACTTCAGAGCCCCTTCCTTTAGGACTAGAATCAGCTGAACTCTCTGATGGAAAAAAAACTGGATTTGATCCATTTGAACTAGCAGCAGTCAAATTTCTAAAACTCAATTTTAAGATTATGTATACTAGTAAAAATTACACTATCTGACAATGATGAATAAATAATATAACATTTTAATACATGGATAACATAAAATATAATGAAGTATAGTATTAATCATTTTAATTTACCTAAAGCTTTGACTGGATAATCCCAAAAACTGAAAGAAATCATCAAGTTTAGGGGGTAGCTCATTCTGTTTTTGAGTTTCACCAGGATCAGATTTGGATCTAATTAATTCAACTTTTGAAACCAATTTTTCATTTTTCCATATCCTGTGGAAAGCCTGACTATTAATTCTTATTGTCACGATTTTCCTATTTTTAGGAAATATTTTTTTATTTATTTCTATGTTAGCATTACAGACCTTGTAGATCTTTTACTGCCTTAACAAGCCTACTCCATCTTTACCTATCTTGGTCTATTTTTTTTTCAGTTATCTCCATGCAGCTCTGTTCAATCCTTGTTGTTACTATCTACGCATCTGGTTTTTGGCCTTCTATTGAGGCATTCATTGTCATGCAGAGGCTTCCAGATGGATTGCTCCGAGCTATATGCCCGACCAATCTTAACCTCTGTGCCTCAATCTCATGGGATGTCGATTGAGCAGTTACTGTAAGCTGCTTTTTATTAGTCTTTCTGCACCATGTGTTAGTACTCTGATGTTAGTACACCAAGTGTTAGATCACTCCGACAATCGTGCAAAGGATTTTTCAATCAAATCTTTTTTCTAGGACGCAGGTTAGTATCCAGGTCTCACAGTCATATATTAGAACTGGCTTTATCATCATTTCATACACCTTTAATTTGAGATTTTTTAGTATTTTAATACCTTTGAAAGAGAGAAGAAAGCTTTGTGCTTGTTATACTCTGATCTATTCCAATCATTGGTCATTCATTGAAATTATTGTGGAGCCGAGGAATTTGAATTTGTTTGAAAAAATAAATTCTATCTAATTTTTAGGAAATATAGAATTTATTTTTTTAAACCTGGGAATGATGCTATATGAAATTTTCTCTCAAAAAAGTTTTATTCTCAAACATTCAAATATTTTTGCCAAATTTGGCACCTGAGACTTACTAGTTTATTTTTTACAAATTGCTTCTACCTAACAAGTTTAAAAGTACCAATAGGACCACTCAAAGGACAGAATCCCCCACCTGTACCAGTACCTAACAAGTTTAGTTGGGCTGACCATCCCACTTCGGTTCGTCTTTAAATTTATTGTGAAGAACATCTCTCCCTTTCTATAAATTCTCTTTTTGCATGAACAATCATTCTATCAAAAAGTGTATTTCATGTATTTTTTTACTTAATAATTTTACTTATCATTTTAGCAAAGTAGTTATCATACACATTACTAAGTAACTAAAAACTACAAAAATATAAATAGTAAAGAAATTTAAATATAGTACTAACATATGGAGCAGTAAAGAGCTGCTGACAAAAACTGGTCAATCAATATGTCCTGATATGAAGGCACGGAGGTTAAGATGGATGGACAATAAATGCTTCAATAGCAGGCAAAACAGAAGATGGATAGATCAAATCAACAAAAATGCAACAGAGCTGCATGCATATAAGTGGAAAGGTAGTGGAAAGTATCTACAAAGCCAACATAAAAAAAATTTTTAAAAATAATACCTAAAAAGGTACACTTTTACAAAACCTCATAAATATCCATAGGAAATAAATATAAACAGTACATAAAAAGGTACTCTTTTATAAAACCACTAGAATAGCATAAAAGGTATTTCATTTCAAAGGCTCTATCCGATTAAGGTAGATTTAAGTGCCCCAGAGAGATAAATGCCTGCCGAATTACACATATGGAAAAAATTCATCACCCAAATTTTATATGATTAGAGTGCCTTCTTATGTTGCCTAAGTCAAAGGCCACTCTGAGGTCCAAAAAGGCAAGGTAAACATTTCGTCTTCGGTCCAACGCTTTCTCCATAACCATCCTTAGAGAGAAGATATGGTCCTGGGTTTGTCTTGAAGGCTGGAAAGCAGCTTGTTCTTCTTCCATTTTAGGTTTGACATATGCTCTCAGCCGCTGCTCCAGGATCCTTGTGTACATCTTATACACCACCAAAGAGAGGCATATGGGCCTGTAGTTTTCACATAAGGTCTGGTCTCCCTTCTTGTATACAGGTATAATTAGATTTTTTATCAAGCCTACTATAACAAATTAAATGTCTGAAGCCATATACTCAATTGTAAATATAATAATAATCTTTATGCATTACTAAACCATTCATCCGATGGCCATGAAACTTTCTGAAGTTGTTGCGTACACTGCCGCAAAGGTTTCTGGAATAGTACTTCTGTCTTACGATAGTTTTATATGTGTAAAAAAAATCTAATCACCTACCCGTTAAGAACATTTCCTACCAAGTTGAAAAATCAGAACAACTCCTCTTCTTCAATCTTGTAGAAAATGGTTAATTAATTTAGCAAACTGAGAAAAATATGAAGCTACTGTTAAATTTCATAGCTCTACCTTATCCAATAAACCAACCTACACAGAATTTATTAATTACCTTAATGAAATAAACACTCAAACAATTCCGCAATACAAAAAGTTTTACAAACACAAATTTAACAGAAATTGGTGGGATAAAGAATGCTCAAATTTTCTTCAAAACATGAAAATGCCTTTAGAACATATAAACAATCCCCTTCCATAGATAACCTCAAAAATTATCAAAAGGCAGATGCTTTATTTAAAAATATCACCCTTAATAAACAAACATAATCTTGGACGATATTTTACTCTAGCATAAATAAAAATACCTCCATAAAAGAAATATGACACAAACTATTAACTCTCTCTAAAAAAATAATAATATGCTCGGACAGAATATTAGGTAAAATCTTATATCGAGAAAAGAGATACCCTTATAATTTTTATACTGCAGTTTGTCATCTTTTTTAAAGATACGGCATATAACTAACTTTTTCCAGTCTTCCGGTATAATCTTTTCCTTCCAAACGGTCAAGACCAAACTTTGGAACCTTTTAAACAGTTCCTCACCTCTGTTCTTGAAGAGTTCAGCAGGCAGGTCATCAGCGCCAGGTGCCTTATTATTCTTTAACTGATTAATGGCGTCCATTATTTCTTCATTATCGGGTGGTTCAAGGTCTGATTCCTAGTTCCTGATATCCAGGAACAAGTCCTCTCTTGTGTCAGATCCAGTGTCTGTTCCACAGGGGGCTGAGTTGAGAAGCTCATCAAAGTGACTTTTCCATTGTAATACGACGTCATCCTTGCAGGCCACTATATTCCCATCCTTATCTCTTCAAGTTTCAGATACTTTTCTTCGAGGTCTTCTCTTCTTATTGATGATCTTAAAAAGGTCTCTTGATTTTTTCTCCTTCCAGTATTTTAGATTTCCAGTATTATTGATCTACATAAGGGCAATATTTGACTATGGGTCAGTTATATATGGTGAAGCTACAGATACATCATTAAAAAAATTAGATGTCATCCAAAAGAGATGTATAACAATATGCTTAGGCCTCCTATAGTCCTTCCCAATAGATATATTAGTAAATAAGGCTGTTGAAATGCCACTACAAGCCAGAAGGCAATTAATAAGTGACAAAACAATTTTTAAGATAAAAGCAAGAAATCCTATTTGCTACTAATAGGATATTAGTCTCCTAATATTAAGCAAGGCTTATTGGCAGAAAAAGAAATACATACCCATTATTTATAATAGTTTTACAAAATATAAAAAAATACTGGACCATGTTTATCCGTCTAATATAGTATCTCAATTATCCATAAAAATCAAAATATTTTTTCAAAAATTCAATATAAAAATGAATGAATGAATGAAAATATTTTTTATTATCCTGAGTAACTTTTACTGTTGTACCTTTAGAACAAATTATAGATACAGAAAAATGCCTGTGTGGCCATACATTAAATTAAATAGTTACAAAATAATATCTAATTAAAATTAAAATATAAGAGGAAAAAAAAAACATACAGATATATATAAAATAAACATAAAATAATATGAGTAAACAAAATAATTTCTGGGGGAATTTAAAAAGTTCTCTTATGTACATTTCGTAATCAATTGGGTTGGGAAAGGAACAGATGCTTAAAAAGGAGAGATTTAAATGAGGAAACTGATTGTGCATGTCGGATATCGGGAGGGATGGTATTCTAGAAGACGACAGCTTGAATTACAAAGAATTTGTCAAATGCAGCAGTTCGGTGAGGAGGATAGAGATCGGAAGTACCGAATCTAGTGGGACGGGATTGAATGGAGTATTTAAATTGTAAGCTGTGAAAAATATAGGAAGATTGCTGATAGAGGGGATTAAGGTTAGGCTGAAGGCAGGAAATGCTTGTAATTCTTCTGTGACAAAATTACTTAACTCACACCTCTTGTCCCAGAACTTAAAAACTAGAATCTATAAAACCATTATCTTACCTACAGCTCAGCTCTTTATGGGTGCGAAACATGGCCGCTTACATTAAGGGATGAGCGACGTCTTCAGGTTTTTGAAAATAAAGTATTGCGTAGAATATTCGGACCGAAGAAGGATGAGTTAAACAGAGAGTTTAGATGGTTACACAATGCCGAAATGCGTAACTTAATCCAGTAAATATAATTGAGGTGATTACATTGCGGCGAATCAAATGGGCTTGTAAAATTGTTGGGCTTAGAAAATGAAAGAATTCCTAAAAGGTTAATATTTGCTATACTAAATGGTAAACATTCGAGGGGTAGACCGAAGCGAAGGTGGGAAGATTGTGTTAAAGCCGATCTAAAGGGACTGGGTTTGGACGGCGAACGGTGGAGGGAGATGTGTAATAAGCGATTGGTGGTGTCAGCAACGAACCTTTGAGTTAAGACTTTTATTATTATTGCTGTTGCCTTGAGCTTATAAAATATTCTCAAACTTTTTATAAATGCGACTTCTGCCATATGTGGAGGCTTACTGGGAAAATATTAGTGCGGGTTCCGCAAAGATAGATCAAAGGTCGATCATATTTTCTCACTCAGTGTTATACTGGAACGAAGCAGAGAATATTGCTTATGACAGTGTACCACATGAACCTCTTTATCAATCGATGAGGAAACAAAACATCCTAGAGAAACTTATCCGATTGGTTAAATTAACCATGGCAGAATCGATGTATGTGGTGGGTGTACAGGGTGAATTGTCAGAGATGAGTTTTGCAACGAATGGCATGAGACAGGAAGATGCGCTGGCTTGTCTGCTCTTCAACATGGCATTAGAGAAAGTGGTATGAGATGCACGGATCCAAATAACAGGCACAGTGTTTAAAAGAGTGATCTAGTGAAAGCTGCAGTAGTTAGGAAGAAGACAGCCTGGAAAGAGTATTTCCAACTCAAGACTGCAGCCAACTGGGAGCTCTACGTTAGAAGAAGAAAGGAAGCGAAAATGGTTGTCCGTGTGGCGAAGAGAAAGTTAGGAAAAATTTGGTAGAAATCTGCAAAATGATTACAAGGAAAATAACAAGACTTTCTGGAAAAGAATTAAATCAATGAAAGGAAAGGCAAGCAAACCCATTAGAAATATTAAGGACCAATCAGAGCAAATAATTACTGAAGATGAGGAAATAGTGGAGAGATGGCAGCGCCATTATTTTGCATTGTTCTCTGGTGGTTCGGAAGAGAGAGTGGAGGAGGATGTCATGTGGGCAATTGAGAAATTGAAGATTGGCAAAGCAGCAGGCAAAGATGGTATTGCTCCAGAAATTATAAAATTTGGAGAGGTTAAGGCTATACGGGGTTTTCCCGGGCCAGAGGGTGTGGGTGGGGATTCAAAAGACGCCTTGGCACCGGGACACGAACTCGTGACTATTTTTGTATCATTTGATTGATATATCAGGTTGCCGGGCAACGGTGGTACTGTGCATCAATAAATAAGCCATGTAAATAATGGCCACCAACATTTTTTACCACAAATGCTGATCCTTCTTTGGCCGATGTCTTTATCCATTCGATCAGTTCCACCAACCCTGACTGTTGGAAAGGATATGACACCTAACAACTGAATGAAGCAAACTATAATCATTCACTATAATCACCGGTATAATTTTGTTGATCCATCAAGTGGGGTCCAAGAAACAATATATGTCCATATGTTGTTTAAGTGTTTTTTTATTGTTTCATTTTTTTATTATTACATTTATTTTTGTCGATTTCATATATATATTGTAAAATTAAAGTGTTTTCTTAATGTTTTGGGAATTATTACTTTTATTTTTGTCTATTTCAATTTCAAATCAAACTGTTTTGTTATTATTACATCTGTTTTCGTCTATTTAATGTATATCTTGTAAAATAAAAGTATTTTTTTTATTATTACATTTGTTTTTGTTTATAATTTCAATAATATGAATATAATACAATAAATATGAATACAAAGATAAAAATTATCAGTGCCTTATCAGAATTATCAGTCTTCAGGTTATAAACATTGGTAGATAGCATTCAGCCCCAGCCAGCTATCAGACAAGTACCAAATTTTCTTTTATGATATCCATAAATGAAGGCAACTTTTTCATTTTGTCAAGATTGTTGAGCTTTGTATGATCTGCTGCATGCATAAATGTCATTATTTGAATAAAGTGATCTCTTCTGATGCAATTTTAAACTAAAATATTATTAATATCTTCTTTTTTTTCCCAATAAAACCTCTTTCCTGGCAAAACCACATATCCACTCAATAAAAGTATGCCAATAAATGCTTTGATTTCATCAGTGGTGATCTGGGGATGAGGCATAATTTTAAATAAGGCATGTTTATTTGATTCATCTGTTAAAAATATAAAAATTTCTTCTGTAAAAAACATTTCAAAACATTCTACAGAGTTAAATGTTTGAATTTTTCATGTGATTCCCTGGTAAATTTATCATAAGAAATGTTTTCCAAATCACCTTCCATCCATGTTCTTTTTCGGCTTTTCGCATATTCAGATTATTTGAATGTTTTTCCAAGACAAAGATTATTTTTTTAAAACAACTTCTGCATCACTGGTTAGCTGTCTAGCTGTAAAATTTTTGTTATCGACTTTTGTCCTCCATCTTCATCAGTACCGTCCTCGTCCGTGAGAATATTAGGTTCAAATGGAGCAATATATGCCAGTCACTTCTTTTTGCAAATCACTTTAATCACTGTGTTTCGAATCTTCGAATCGAGGATATAGAGAGCCTCTTCAAGAGTGAGATCTCCCACAAATGAAAAGTTTTTCTAAAAAATAAAATAAAAATTCTCAGAAAACAAAATTATTATTTTAAAATATATTTCTTAGTAAAAATCAAACTGTATAAAATTATATTATAATAATGATTTCAATAACTTTCAAATTTAGAATTCAATTCGCATGAATATTTATATAGACATATCCATTTGTCATGATTTATTTCTTTTAGATTTGTATTGTATATTTCATAAAAAAATTCTCTTAATCGTTCCTAAATATAAACAAACAATTATCTATTGTTTCAGCTTGGTTCAAAAATAGATTTCTTTAAAATTGAAAAAAGAATTTTTTAAAAATTGTGTTCATATTTCAGAATATTGCAAATAAATAAAAACCAACATTGTTTTCCCAGGGATATAATTTAGTTTTCTTAATTACAAAAAAAAAAAAAGCCATTATAATTTTAGTATACAAATTCGAAAAGGTAGTGCCAACTCCGACTGTGACATATATGTCACACCGAGTTTAGATCTAAATTATGCAGTTAGAGATTTTTCATCAAACCTAAGATTTTGTATGCTTAACTATAGGATTTAATGAAACTAAAGCATGAAAAATTAAAAATGAAAAAAAATAATATAAACATATAAAAACACTTACCATGCATCGAGATTGAGGTTCATTGTAGTTTGATTTTACAACTTCAAAATAATCACAAATAAGCACTGTTGGTACAACTGACTGTCAGATATCCCTGTAGGTATTGATAACGGTATTTCACTCTCAACCATAAAGGAAAAGAAGGAGGGATGGAAAGACGGGTGGCGCTTTGCTGTGACTTTAACATGACACTAGGCTTTAGAGGGTTAAATTATAAATTTAATATAGATAAGATAGTAAAATAAAAAGATAAATAGGTAATAAAATAGAGATTAAAAAAAACGATAAATTTTAGAAATGGGTAATTAGTCAACTGATGAATTATTAGGATGAAACAAAATTGTTAAGATTTAGTGTCAAGAATTTTTATTAGGTTAACTTAATAAAAATTCTTGACTAAATCCTGACAATTTTGTTTCATCCCAAAGAGATAAATATTTAAAGACACATATATTCATATATATAAATCATCTAATGTAGCACAAAAAGTGCAAAAATGTGAACTTTGATGCATCAAAAATCAAAATCATGCATTTTAGGCAAAAAAACAGCAAAACGTGCAATATAAAATTTCAATAGGTTATTCTATTGATCATGAAACAGATAAATAATCGGGTTTGAAGTTTTTACATGCAAGTGAATAAAATGTGCAATAACATGATAATCTGGTCTCTAGTTATTATTGTGGCAAACAGGTTTCTAAAACTGTCGGCAGTTATATACTATTAAATAACCAGTCAGAGAAGTTATACCAAATGAGTTAGATATTGAAATTAACGTAATGATAGTATGAAATTGATTACACAACTCACTTAGATTCAACCTTCCCAGCACTTCCTCCCATACTTGTGCAAGATTTAGACAGAGAAGGTGGCTTGCCATAACTTTTTTCACTGCTTGAGCAATCAGTGTCCTTCAGAAAATAAGACTATATTAAGAATTATAAAAATTACACAAAAAAAAGTTTGCAGCTACTTAGAAAAAACACTTACTATTGTTGAAGAAGTATCGGCTTTTGAAGACTGATCTTCACCAGAGCTAAAGAAATTGAAGTAATAAATACTATTGTTATTTATTACTTTCATCTACAGAATATATAAATCTTACCAAGAAATATGCTGTATGGTACTACCAAAGCTTTCATGTGATGATGTGCTTAAGTCAGGAAGGCTCTTGTATTGAACTTCAGTTTTATAGCAGAAATCCTAGAAAAAATCATTAGATGTATTATAACAAAAATCAATGTATCGTGATAAATTAGAATGAACAACATAAGGCAATATTAAAAATAAGATATCTAATACTCTGATTATATAATTACAACATTAAAAATAGTATAAATGATTAAAAATGACCAATTAACAAACCACAAACTATATTATGTTAGCAGCTAGCTTTTTAATACTGTCTTATATTAAGAATCATAAGCCAGTAATTTTTGAAATCCCTATTAATTTTCGTGTGGATTGGTGAAGCCATTCTAAAGTTATCACAAGTTTTGTGGTTGTTGACGAAATTTCGAAGGGTCCAGTCTAGGAAAAATTATGTGCAGAAAATTTCAATTTTTCGATTGCTATAAAAATTCGTATTTAAGGATTTTTTGAGGTGCGAAAAAACGAATATCAGTTTTGTTTCTTCCTAAAAAATGATTTACTCTAGATACCAGACTGGTTTATAATAAATATTTTATGTGGCAGATAGCTACAAGTATGGCCACAATTTGAACCAACTGACGTAGTAATGTGGGAGTAAATATTTTTTTATGAAGAAACAAAGTTGATATTCGTTTTACGTACCTCAAAAAGAATGCTGGTATATGTGTCTAATATTTTTCGATGTAGTATTGGAATTACATCCCACTTAAAATCCGCCAGGCACCATCCTCATCCACATTCAAAACCCTCTTATTACAATTCCTCTTCACAATGCAATCAGACGCTGGTTAATTATATATTATGCAACAAGGATAATTTTTTATTTATTTTTTTCCTTTTCATTGCACCATTATTTTATTTTAGTTTTTGTTTATTATTTATGAATTGGAAAGATCCAGTATCACTTTTGTCATAGCACTGTGATGCATAAAAACAAGGGATAGTTAGTTGTTTTTATCCATTTTTTTCTATCTGCAAGATTATATATTTTTTAAATGTATTTCATTGTTTACATTCCTCAATTGTATATATACATGTTTCCTATCTTAATCTCCGTGTTTGTTTATGTTTTATAATATCATTGCGTAGTGTATTACATATATTAATAATTTGTTTTATTTAATTTTTTTTTTCTCCTTTTGTTGCAATTGTTTTCTCACAAAATTAATTTAATGCCCCTTCCTAATTGTATGTCTCTATTTATTCTTATTTTACATCTCTTATGCTGAGATATTGTAATATTGAAATCCCGTTTCTCATCCTGTGTCATTAATATATCTTTACTAGGTATATATTTTGTATGCTTATTCTGTTTATGTTTTAACATAAAAAGTCAATACTTTTTATTTAAGTACTTTTGATATTTTTTCTTTTCTAGAGGTTTTGGTTTTTCTTTCTATACATGTAACTTTTTTTTTCTTTTCTTTTTTAAATTTTTTTTTCAAATACAATTATAATTATAGTTGAGAAGATTTTATTTTATTTTTTAGTCATTTACATACTATTATTTAAGTTGTTGTATATATTATTTGATTCTTTATTAAGTTAGTTTTTGGCCTGATATGTATTTTTTCTTTTGTAACAGTTCATTATTGTTATTCTAAGGGGACATCGTCCCAGAATAAAGTTTATTTTCTATTTCTATCTCTGTTTTCTATATAAAAAAAAAGAAGGATTTTAATCGGTTACCTTGTTGATTTAAAATTCTTCTAGAGGTCTCAAACTTTATACTAACGTGCAGTATACTCTTTTCAAGTTGCATCCACCATCATTCTTCACAGTACATTGATGATTCTTAATTTATTAGTTCCAAATCATCAGTTTATATTTGCCAGCAGTTTTAGAAACCTGTCTGCTAGCTGTAATACCTAAAACTGCTTTCCATTTGCAAATTATATGCTGCCCACAAAGATAAAAAAGAGTAGAACAACTGAATGGCCTTAATCTGCCTTTGAGAAAACTGGATGTGTTGGGGAACTATTTATATGGAAACTTCAAGAGCAGAGGAATGTATCACAATAGGTAATCATACCCTGAAAGCGGTAGAAACCTTCAAGTATTTGCTTTAATTACAGAATTAAATGCTTTAATTATAGAAAGTAATGAAAAGATGGAAGAACTGAAAGCAAGAATGGCTACTGGGAATAGATGAATAAAATGAATGAATGAATGAAAAAATAATTTTATTTTGGGACTACTGTCCTCTAAGAATAATAACAGAGTTACAAATTTATGTATCTTAGGCTGACATAGTAAAAATACCAACTAATTTATTGTTAATTGTTATTTCAATTGTGCAATGGATTGAAATTAAACATTGTATAGATGCAAGTAATTTTACATGTTAGGGGAAGTTTGAATGTGGAGTAGGTGTTGGAACAGGAGTTGTTTGAAGGAATTTGTGGATGAGGATTGACGCATGGAGGTAGGAAGTGAGTTCCATAAGGAAGCAGCACGAATGACGAAGGATTTGCTGAAGGAGGAAGTTTTATGGGAGGGAATATATAAGTCTATAGGTTGAGACCTAGTATTGAGAGAGTGGATAGAGGAGCGCAGAGTAAGGAGTTCCAGGATGTAGGGAGGGTTTTTGGTTCTGAAGACTTGGAAAAAGAAAACGCCAAGAAGGAATTGTCGTCGGGAAGTAGGAAAAAGCCACTTCAACTCGGTGTATCATAGTGAAACATGTGAACGCCTGGGGATCCCAAAAATGTATCTTATGAAACAATTCATGAGTCTTTTTAGTCTCATTTCCAGCCTGGCAGATAGCCCTCCATACACCAAGCAGCCGTAGTCGAAATGGGGGAATACAAGGGAGGTTACAAGGAGCTGTCTGGTTTTTAGAGGAATACAATCACGGAATCTTAGGAGTTGTTTAAGGCCAGTTATGGATTTTCGGGTAATCTGGTATATATGGTTATCCTAGGAGAGGTTCTGGTCAAAGGTTACTCCTAGGTTTTTGACTGTAGGGAAAAAATGGATGGGATGGTTATTGAGGTAAAGTAGAGGAAAGTAAGGAAGGGAGCTGATGAGATGTCTGGACCCGATGATAATAGCCTTGGTTTTATCTGCATTCAGCTTTAATTCATTTATTTCTGCCCATCTGTTGATGCAGTCGATGTCCTCTTGTAGCCTCCGGGCAGCCTCAGGCATTTCAGAAGGTTGGAATGATTGGTATATTTGGAAATCATCGGCATATAGGTGGTAATTGGAGTGTTGAATGGCATTAGGAGGGTCATTAATATAGATGGAGAAAAGGGTCTGGGAGAGTGAGGAACCCTGAGGAACACCTCACGTTAATTGCAGTGATGATGATGGAGGTTTATTCGGTATTGTAACTGTCTGAGATCGATTGGATAAGAAAGATAGGAACCATTTTAGGACGCTATTTGACATGGGCAGGCTTTGGAGTTTGGAAAGAAGGATCTCATGATTAACGGAATCAAACGCCTTGGAAAAGTCAAAGAGAATAAGGATGGAGATTTTCTGTTTATCTATGGCGGATTGGAGGTCTTGGGTAATCCTTAGCAAGGCAGACTGGGTGGAATACTGGGAACGGAAACCAGATAGTAAGGGATTGAGGAGATGGTTTTGCTCGAGAAAGCTGTTCAACTGAGAGTGAACTAATCTTTCTAGAGGCTTGGATAGGATGGAGATGGGTCTGAAGTCGGAAGCTGATGAAGGAGTTGGAACTTTGTTCAGTGGACGGATTATGGCTCTTTTCAAGGATTTGGGAAAAATGGAATTTTGGAGAGAGAAATTATATATGTGTAGGAGTGCGGGTAGTAAAGCTAGAAGGCAGAGTTTGATAACTTTGACAGGTATTTGGTCAGGACCATAATCGTTCATTTTGGATTTAAGGGTGGCAGAGAGCAGGTCAGTAGGAGAGATGTTGAGAAAGTAAAACTTATTAGGATCAAAGGGGGTTTCGGTAATGAAAAAAAATGAGCGGTCAGATGGAGATGTGGATAGAAAATGATTAGTGAAAAAAGAATTTAGCATGTTGGGATCGATTGGATACTGTGTGCAAGTTTTCGAGGTAACAACAGAGAGGTTCTTAAGGATTTTCCATTTGAATTTAGGGTAAGGTTCTTGGGATAAAACGTTATTGAAGTATTGGGCTTTGGCGTGACGTAGGGTCATTTGTGTGAGATTTCGGAGGGATTTAAATGTGGAATAATGCTCAGTTAGTCTAGTACGTCTGTATCGCCTTCTAGCAGTTTCTCTTCTCCTCATTAGTTCTCTTATTTCTGTATTGATTCAAGGAGCGGGAGGACGTCTAAAGACACGTGTTTTTAGAGGTGCATGATGATTGAGGAAATCGAGGAGGTTGGAGGAAAGGCATTCAACCATATCATCGATGGAGGGGAGAGAATAGATGGGTTCTAAGCAAGTGGAAAGAGAATCGAGGAAGGGGCTGATGTTTTCAGTGGTTAAGGAATCTAGATCTCTCTAGGAAATTTGTTTGGGTTTAGGTGAAGGAGTAGAGAAGTTGTATGTTATTTCAATAAGATCGTGGGATGAAAGGAAGGGAACTGGAATTTGCGTAGAGGATAATGGGTTATGTGGGGAATCAATAATAAATAAATCTAGCCAAGTATCAGTGGATTGGGTGGGTTGAAAGGGTACAATAAATAGATCTAAGGAAAAAACTAGGTCGGTTAGATATGTTCTGTCCGGAGTGTTTGAAAGGAGGTTGGTGTTGAGATCATCAGCAATAATAATATTTTTGTAGAGAGGAATATATGTAAGGAGGGAGGATTTAAGAGCGGGATCGAATCGGACACGAGGAGGTCGGTAAATAACGATAAAGAGTAGAGGAAAGGTACTAAAGGAAATCTGGACAAACAGATATTCTATGTTAGGGACGTCTGAATGAGGAGATTTTAGAAGGACTTTGGTCGTCAAACTGTCATGTATGAACAATCCCACACCTCCACCTGTTCGTTCCATTCGATCATGACGGAAGAGGGTATAGTTGAGTAAGGAAAAAGTACATGATGTACAAAACCAATTTTTTTTTTGTTGCTGCTATAAGTTGGCTTCAGAGACGTTAATACATTTTTTATGGTATATTAATTTGCACGTTGTGCAAACAAATGTAGTTTTATCCTCTCTGGCAATGGTATTATTGCATTTAGGACAGAGTCATCGTGAGCAGCTGATTAACTGGGTAATAATAATAGAGTAGATACCGGTAGAGGTGGTGGGGAGAGGTAGCCGTAGTGGGGTTAAGCGCCTTATCTTACGCTCGGCTATATCACAACAATTTTAAATTGTTTTCTTACCTTATATTGTTTTTAAGTATTGATGATATAGTTCAAAAGTTAATATTAATCGCCAACGCAATTAACATTAACAGCACTTTAAATATTTTAGTGACGGTGAACTGAACTGTAATAGCACAACTTGAAATTAAACACGAACACTGATGCTATACGTTTGAAGGCTAGGGCCAGACTGATGAATGCTGTATAAGTAGATGCTGTTTTGCCATGAGAAAATTGCTAAACTATAGCTCCATCTCTCATAGAACAAAAATCAAAGTGTACGAGTAAGTCATGAGACCTGTCCTCACTTTGGTTCTGAGACTTGGGTTATCTCTAAGGCCTCAGGAAGGAAGCAACTCCCATGAGAGAAGGATTCTCCACAGGATCTACGGTCAGGTGTGTGAGCATGGGCAGTGGAGAATTTGCACCAATAGAGAGCTTCAGATTCTGTACTTCTATACTCTTTTCCTTTTTCTTAATAAACGTGCAGAACCAATAACCGGATGAAGTAATTAAATTAGAAATAAGGACAAGGGAGAACTCATACATGACTCACATGGCGAGTTAACCTTTATTAGAGAGAAATACAAAACATATACATAACTATTCATTTAGTACAAAAAGGTATCAATAATTAGAAAAAAGAATAAACATTTGTAAATGAATTTACAAATTAATGATATACTTCAACAGGATAAAGACTGAGGTGTTTATAAAAATAAATAAAAAAGTCCATAATGTATTGTTAGTGATAAAACTTTTCTTTTTTAAATTTTTTTGTTAGAGTTTCCAATAAAGAACAAAAATTACAGTGTGCTCAAAAAATCTCATATTTTCATATTCGGATTTTTTATCAAAATATAGGTTTTATGTCTCTTCAACAAAAAAATTGTTCTGTATCTAATGAAGATCATCACTTTTATCTATGTATAATCACTTGTGTATGGCCATTTAACAGGGTGTATAAAAAAAAATGACCATTTTATCAAATTCAAGATTTCAAAGGACTGTACATATTTTAATCCTATTTAATACTTAATAATCCTTTACAGCATTCTCTAAGCTTACTTAGTTTAATCCCATTCAACTTCTTCAAAAAAAGGCTCAGTTTAGTCATTTGTTTCAAAGAAGAAACATGACAGCGTCTTACAAAATTCTCATAATTTTAAAGCATTACAGGGAAAAAAATTTCACAGTCGCTGAAGCAACTCATGAAAATATTAAATATGAAGTGAAAGGTGTCCTTGACCAGCACACTGCATGGCATTGCTTTGAAAAATTTAGCAGTGGAGATACGACGTTGGAAAGGAAGAAGGGCTTCGGGTAACCATTAATGGATATTGATGAGGTTCTACAGGCAGCTGTTAAGTCAATAAGTCCATAAGTATTCGCGAACTTGCAAGGGAGTGTGATGTGTCGAAAGATACTGTTAGTTGCCATCTACTCTCCATGGGGAAGGTGAAAAAGAGTAGTGGACTGGTCTCTCATGAACTTACTCCTCAGCAATCAGCTAAGAGGTATGAAATTTGTGAAAATCTATTGAAAACCCTACTGATATGAGATTTTACCAGAAGATTGTCAGCTGTGATGAAAAGTGGGTTTACTGGTGAAATCCGAATACCCATGAACAATGGCTAGATCGTGATCAAACTACTTTTCCGGTTGCTGCTAGGAGGCAATTTGAAAAAAAATACATGCTTCGCGTTTTTGGAATTTTTAAGGTATCATGGGTTCGAACTCCTGCTTCATCCACCATATAGTTCAGACTTCATACCATCGGATTACTACTTATTTAGATCCATGGCCCATTTTCTTCAATGGAAAAAATTTGATAATTTTGCGGAAGTTGAAATTGCTGTCCAAGAGTTCTTCGACAGCCATCACAAAGAATGGTATCAGCGTGTGATTGAGCAATTGGCTAGCAGATGGCTAATGATGGTAGATAACAATGGACTATACTTTGAGTATTAATTGTATTTTATTTCAAAGAAATAATAATACAAATGTTTGGTTGAAAAACGACCATTTTTTTTTTATACACTCTATTAAAATAATTTTTAAGTTTAGAAGCCTTCACAAGAATTGATTTTTGTTTTTGTCACCTAATTAATTAAGACAGAAACACTTTTTTAGTGGCTAGCTTTCACAAGTACACTGACAATAAAAAATCAGAGAATTCATAAAATAAAACATATCTTAAAAACACAGCTTCAATATAAAAGGGTTTTAATACATCCATTATAATTTTTTAAATAATGAATAAATGATTTAATGTACCTCTCCAAGACTGTCTTTGGAGTCTAAAAGTCTCCTTAATTTTGATTCTAAATCACATGACCTCTCTTGTTTCTTATTTGTGGATGTTCGATTGGTGCAGAAAATATCATCTGAAAATATAAACAAAAAATTAAAACCATGACTCATGTAAGTATACAAGATTATGTTTAACTAAGTAATAATGATAAACAACCTGAGCGCTTTTCTTCTGGACTATGTATTTTTAAAGCAGCTAGTGATTTGACATAGAGTGGTTTTGTTTCTTCAAGAACTTCAACAGCACTTTTTCTGTTAGCTTTTGTAGATAACAAAAAATAAAATAATAACTGGTGATTTGCAAAGTAAAGTTACTGTATTTGAGCAATCTCGGTTACCATTGATATGCCTGTAGTCATTAATTGTGTAATGGCGAAAAGTTTGTAATGGATGAAACATTGAAGTCATTCTGTAACATTAAAATGTTGGGAGATGAAATATAATCCATTAATAATAATAATAATAATAAGGCTTAGCGAACCCGAAGGTTCGATGCCGACACCACCAATCTCTTATTACACACCTCCCTCCACCGTTCGCCGTCCAAACCCAGTCCCTTCAGATCGGCCCTAATGCAATCTTCCCACCTTCGCTTCGGTCTACCCCTCGGACGCTTACCATTCGGCACAGCAAATATTAATCTTTTAGGAATTCTCTCGTTACTAAGCCCAACAACTTTACAAGCCCATTTGATTCGCCTCGATGAAATTACCTCAATTATATTATCCGGATACAGCTCATGCAATTCGGCGTTGTGTAACCGTCTGAACTCTCCGGTTAACTCATCCTTCTTCGGTCCGAATATTCTACGCAATACTTTATTTTCAAAAACCTTAAGACGCTGCTCATCCCTTAATGTAAGCGGCCAAGTTTCGCATCCATAAAGAACTGTAGGCAAGATAATTGTTTTATAGATTCTAATTTTTAAGTTTCGGGACAAGAGGCGCGAACTAAGTAGTTTTGTCACAGAAAAATAACAAGCATTCCCCGCCTTCAGTCTAACCTTGATCTCTTCTTCAATTTCGTTTTTTCTAGTTATCGTAGAACCTAGATACCTAAATTTATCTACCTGTTCAAACATATTACCATCTATATCGATATCACCAGTAGTATCGCCATTTTTGCAGCTAACCATATATTTTGTTTTATCCACGTTTATTTCGAGTCCTAGTTCTTTACCGGCTTTCATTAACGTTGTCGTATTTAGTTTTATAGTTTCAACGTCTTCGCTTAACAGTACCAGATCATCAGCATAGCCCAGCACGGATGTTGTCCCGCCCAGATCCAACCCTTTCTCGGTTCGCATTACCTCCCTAATGGCATGTTCTAATGCCAAATTGAACAGGACAGGCGAAAGAGAATCCCCCTGTTTTAAGCCCGAACGAACCTCAAATTTTTCGGACAAATTATTACCGATTCTAACTTTATTGAGTGTCTCCGTCAAGCACATCCTGACTAGATTTACTAGTTTTTTTGGAATCCCCTGCTCGATTAGAATATTATACAGTTTCTGGCGGTCAATAGAATCGTAAGCCTTTTTAAAATCTATATACAGCTGGTGAACAATACCGTTATACTCCAATTTTTTCTCTAATATTTGCCGTAAAGAAAATATTTGATCAATTGTCGAACGATAGCGTCTAAATCCGCATTGGTAGTCTCCGATAATTTCCTCGGCGTATTCCGTGATTCGACTGGTTAAGATTGAAGTGAATATTTTATAACATACCGGAAGGAGTGAAATTCCTCGATAGTTATTACAATCCGTCCTCGGGCCCTTTTTGTGAATCGGAATAAGAATAGATTCTTTCCATTCTTCAGGTAATTTCTCGTTCACCCAGATCTTTTTAACTAACCGATGTATTTTAGAAACTCCAGCTTCCCCGCATGCCTTAATTAGTTCAGTAGGAATATTATCGATTCCCGCTGCTTTATATGATTTTAATTTTCCGATAGCTACTTCAACTTCCTCTTTACTTGGTCCTTCTATTAACGGTTCAGCACTCTGGTACTCAGAAGGAGGACACAGATCATAATTTCCCGTATTTAAAATATTGTCAAAGTGGTCCTTAAACTTATTCAATATGTCAACCGGATCGGTCAGAATATTGTTATTATCATCCCTAATTCCAGACGTTACGGGCCCTACATATTTACGTGATCTGTTTATACCTTTGTACATGTCTCTTACGTTATTTTCGATTCTATTAGTTTCTATTTCAATTATTTTATTTTTAAGATACTCCCTTTTTTTATTTTTGAGCAATTTTGTCGTTTCGTTCTTTGAGATTCGGAAGTATTCCAGATTGTCTTCGCTAGGATTATTTAGAGCTTTTAATTTAGCGGCTTTTCTTTTTTCACACATGTTTAAGCAATCTTCATCAAACCACGGTTTGTTATTCTTATTTTCCTTTTTTCCTAGACAAGAGTTACCAACCGCTTTAATATTATCCCTGATCTCTATCCATAACTTGTCAATATCCTCGTGGTCCTCGTCAGGAAGCTCTAAAGCTTCAAACCTATTCTTAACATCTAGCTCGAATTGGTTTCTAATTGATGGATTTTTTAATTTTTCCAAATTAAAATTCTCAAAATCGAAACGGTTTTCTTTTCTCTTTTTTATATTAAGTTTTTGTCGAAGTTTCGCGATTACTAATTCATGATCCGACCCACATTCTGCTCCGCGATAAGACCGTACATTAATAATACTGCTTTGCCAGCTATGTTGTATCAAGACATGATCGATTTGATTTCGTGTTTGCGAATCCGGTGATGTCCAAGTATATTTATGAATATCCTTGTGTTTAAACGTCGTACTTTTAATTATCAGGTTTTTCGAGATGGCAAAGTTTATCAGACGGATCCCATTATCATTACTATATTCGTGCAAACTTTCTTTACCAATCGTCGGAATATAAACTTCTTCCCTTCCTACCTTTGCGTTCGCGTCACCTACAATTATTTTCATGTAGTTTCGCGGTAGTTTATCATAAACCCATTCGAGTTTATCGTAAAATTCACTTTTGACTTCATCGTCACTGTCTTCGGTCGGACAATGTATGTTTATTAATGCGATTTTAAACCAACGTCCCTGAAATTTAGCTACCGAAATTCTATCACTAAAGAATTGTACGTCACTCAAAGCGGATAATAATCTACTCCTAATTAGAAACCCGGTACCCAAACAATGATTCCCGCTTCCTCCGTACCAAATAGTGTACTTTCCTTCCCTCATCGAACCCTCCCCTGGCCAGCGAACCTCTTGCAGAGCCACGACATCCAAATTGTACCCATTTACCTCATCCGCGACCGATTTTAGCCCCCCTGCTGTGTTTAAACTCCTTACGTTCCACGTACCAATATTTAAATCCCTATATTTCAACTTGCACCATGAATCCCCTAAAGCAGTCCCCACCCGGAGACCCGAACGGGGGACTAGTTTACCTCCGGATAATGAGCGTTTTACCTTAGGGAGATCCATGACTTTTTGTGGTGTTTGGTGAACTAAAGATATGTGAGTAGGCCGTTCAATCCTACGTCACACCCTCCAGCAAGTCTGGTGGGCCCCTACCTCCAGCAAGTCTGGAGGTCCCCTCCCTCCAGAAAGTCTGGAGGGCCCCTCTCATTGTTGGTCAGCGAGTCCATCGGACTTAGCCGGGAGGAACTTCCAAGGAATTTCCACCGACCATCCCCACATCCGCCACCCGTGGGACGCTCCCCATACGCGGTAATGAGCCCGCGCGAGGAATATAATCCATTAATGATAATAATTATAGAGAAACTACAAACAACTCATTGCTATATCATGAGTTTAAAATGTTAAGAAATCTTTTGAAAATATTTACAAAAATTGTTAAGGTGAGATCTGGCATCCTTAGTGTAGGGATGTGGCAACCCCATTACACAGTCATCTGTCTGTAATCAGACACTGGCCCTCCAGGTTGGAGGAAACCCAGTGCCGGAGGTTATAGCCCGAACACTCTTCCTCCTGAGGGGAGATAAATATTCAGGAGACCAGTTTTCACGAGGATACGGGGCTTCTCCTACTTGGCCAATCACCCATAGTAGAGCTTAAATGATTCAAAGTACATCAAATGGCCTCGGATTAGGATAGTCTTAAAGGTTATGAGGTGGCACTCAAAAGGATTATACTTGGAACGTGGAATATCAGGATTTTAACTGGCAAGGAGGTTGAACTGGTGGAGGAGATGGAGACATTTAGGGTAGACCTCCTAGGAATTTGCAAAGTGAGGAAAACAGGGCACGGTGAAGTACACCTAGACAAGGACCATGTGCTTATCTACTCAGGAGTACCAGCAGGGTTTAGAGCCAAATAGGGTGTCGCTGTCATCATGAAAGAAAGCCTGTTCACCAAAGTAGAAGATTAGCAGCCCATATCTTCAAGAATTATAACAGTGTATATGGATCTGTCAATAGGAAAGATAGCACTAATCTAAGAGTATATCCTGACAGAGGAAGCAAATGTTCTCAACAAAGAACAGTTCTATGCTGATCTAGAGGGAGAGGTCATCAGAAGTCAGAATGTAACAGAGGGATTATCCTAATGGGTGATTTCAACGCAAGGACCGGAAGAGACCATTCAAATGCACATGATGTTATGGGCATACATGGAGGAGAACACATCAAAAATGGAAATGATCAAAGGCTCATCGACTCCTGTAACGATTACGACCTCCTCATTGGAAACTCTTACCCCCTTCATAACATGGTGCATAAAATAACCATTTCAGCTGAAGAAAGAAGTGTTAATAGTGTTACAGATTACATTGTGTATAGTAGAAGTATAAGGAGATACTTTACTAATGTAAAAGTAATAAGGGATGCTGAAATTGGTTCGGACCATCTTCTGTTAATAGGAGACATCCAGATCCTATGGCTTAGAAAGAAAAGGCCTAAAACATACAAGAAAACTGACATTGCAAAGCTGTAGAATCCAGATAAGAAAAGTGAGTATGCAGAACTTCTGTATCAGAAACTCAGGTATGTCAATGCTGAAGAAAATGTAAACAGTACATGGGCTGCATTGAAGAATGCATTACTTGAGACTGCTGAAAGTGTAAGCAGAACGAAGGTAGTCTACACCAAAAGTAAAAGGTCTGAGTGGTAGAGTGATCTGGTGAAAGCTGCGGTAGTTAGGAAGAAAAGAAGCGAAAATGGTTGTCCGTGTGGCGAAGAGAAAGTTAGGAAAAATTTGGTAGAAGTCTGCAAAATGATTACAAGGAAAATACCAAGACTTTCTGGAAAAAGAATTAAATCAATGAAAGGAAAGGCAAGCAAACCCATTAGAAATGTTAAGGACCAATCAGGGCAAATAATTACTGGAGATAAGGAAATATTGGAGAGATGGCAGCGCCATTATTCTGCATTGTTCTCTGACATATCGGAAGAGAGAGTAGAAGACAGGCAAGAAACACAGACAGATGTATAAGATGACATGATCTGGGAGGAGAACCTCATGTGGGCTATAGAGAAAATGAAGATTGGCAAAGCAGCAGGCAAAGATGGTATTGCTGCAGAACTTTTAAAATTTGGAGGTCCACAATTACAGAAAGTTTTACAGGACCTGTTTCAGAATATATTTTCTTATAAATCTATGTCCGAGAAATGGAGGTGCAACATCACCATACCGACCCATAAGAAAGGAATCCAGTGAATGCCAAAATTATAGGCCAATATGTCTATCCCCGGCAGTCTATAAACTTAGACTTTACTCCTCCATACTGGAAAGAAAACTTAGACTAAATGTTGAAGGCAATTTAGAAGAGGAGCAAGCAGCTTTTAGACCCCCACCGTCAAACACAGGACCACATCTTCTCACTAAGGATGATGATTGAGAAGTCATGGGAAAGAGGAAAGAGTTTGTACTTGGCATTCCTGGACATTAAGGCAGCATTCGATTCTGTCCCCAGAGAGGAAATATAGACAGCTTTAGTCACTAAAAATGTTCCCACAGAATTAATAAATGCCATAAAATCTATTTACCATGACTCCAAAGGAGTAGTTAGAATTAATAGTAGAATGTCTGACCTTCGCTATGAGAAGAAGTGTTAAACAGGGTGACAGTCTTAGTCCTATCCTTTTCATATTTATGGACGAAATATTGAGAATATGCAAGCGGAGGACAACACGGACGGCCGTGGAAAGGTGGAACATGAGGACAATCCTAGCTCAAGTGATGGTTTTTGCAGATGATATTGTCCTTATTGCCGATTCCAAACAAAATCTACAGCAGGCAGTTACTGAGTGGCAGGCTGAGCTGGAGGGAAAGGGAATGATACTAAATGTTGGAAAGAGCAAGATGATGCACATTGGTCATGAATAGGAGGAAGTTTTGGTTTGATGCGGAGGAGAAACCTTGGAGACAGTGCAGGAGTACACTTATTTTGGAGTAGTTTTCAGCAGAAACGGGAAAATGGACCAGGAGCTCTCAAACAGGATTAAGAAAGCTAATGGCATATACTACCAGCTATGCAGCACAGTGGTGGGGAAACGGGAATTGGAAAAGAGCAAGGTGATGCACATTGGTCATGAATAGGAGGAAGTTTTGGTTCGATGCGGAGGAGAAACCTTGGATACAGCGCAGGAGTACACTTATTTCGGAGTAGTTTTCAGCAGAAACGGGAAAATGGACCAGGAGCTCTCAAACAGGATTAAGAAAGCTAATGGCATATACTACCAGCTATGCAGCACAGTGGTGGGGAAACGGGAATTGGAAAAAAGTGTAAAATTACATATCTTTAAGTCCATATACTTACCTACCCTTATTTATGGAGGTGAGTATTGTAGTAGAGCTACTGTTGCAGAAATGAAGTATCTTCGAAGAATAGCAGGCAAAACAAGGAGGGACAGAGTTAGGAATGAAAGGATACGAGGAAACCTGAGAGTGCCAGCTTTGAGGGAAACAGTCGAAAAGAGGCAGTTGGGATGGTTTAGTCATTTTTGCAGAATGGATGAGGACCGTGATCCAAAAAGTTTTTGAGGCCAGGCCAACCGGACGCAAAATAATAGGAATAGTCAAATCTTTTTGGAATAATGTCAGTAATTTAGACAAAGCTCTTGAAATTATATTGATTGTTAACGTGTTAATAGCCTATTGATAATGATCTCAAGATAAATAGAACAAAAAAAAAATGAAATAAATAAAATTAAGTTAAATTAAAATTTTTATTAGCTTACACTTGTTTTCAAGCTACTTAAAAGGTATTTATCATATATGTTGTCCTGATTATTCTATCTAAGGAGTATATTTTTGGTATTTTCTGATATTTAATCTACCAGGCGACTTTATCATTAATTCAAGTTTGTCCAGTCTCACTGAAAAAGTCAATTAGAACGACAAACAAAATATCAAGACAAATATACCCCTTGGAAGAAATAGCCAGGACAACAGATATGTTCATAACTTGTACAAAATCACAATTTTTGATAAATTAAAAAAAAAATTGCCAGAAAAAAATTATATTAAATACTTAATACCTGTTATTCCACTAGGAATCTCGGACACAGAGGTGAATGGTGACTCTAAATAAACAAGTTAAACAAAACATGAATCACAATACTTGAAACAGAAGAAAGAGTTTAAATAAAATTATATTTTAAACAGTATGATTAATAAAATATATTGAAGAGAAGTTGGTTGACGTGCTCGGCCAAAATATTTTGATTGAATACCCCAACCAACTTCTCTTCAATTATTTATTACATTCAACCATATATACATGACTATTAATAAAATATATCAATAAAATTCAATAGATACCAATAAACAAATTAAAAATGAAATAAAATATATGTCTTTTTATCATGGTCATGCTGAGTAATTATTCATTAACAAGCACTTACGGATCCAGGACTTAATTTTGGGGGGAGGGGAGGGCTTCAGCCCAAAATATTTTTTTTTGTGTGTATATATTATAATAATTACTTCACTAGGAAAATAGAAACTAAGTACCTATATTAAGTGGTGTTTAAGTGATTCTTTAAGTCCTATTAAATGTAATAAGATGAACAATAATACTTTTAAAGATAATTTTTTTCATGAAACATGGTTATATTTTACCATTTTGGGGGGGAGAGGGGCTTCAGCCTGAAAGTGTCCTCCTCCCTGTAGATCCGCCTGTGTTAACAAGTGCTAACTATGGTTACTTTTAGGGCATGAAAACACCAATTAATGACCTCAGACAATATCTAAACTTATTAGTATGTAATACATAATTGTAAAGAAACAAATTATTGTAAATAAATTAAAATTGAGAAAAAATTAAAGAAAAACTTGAAATTTTATATAATTTATGAAACAAACTAATATTGTGTGATAATTGTTAATATTACTAGAAATGTCAAAGCAATAAATAAAACAAGTTAATATGTGCTCTAGTTATAACACAATACATGTGCAGGAGTTAGTTGATGTATTCATGAGAACAAAGCAAAAATATTAATTAACTTATAATAGCAAAGCCACATTTTATAGATATATATTTCTTTTATATATATAATTTACATACATGCTCAAATGAGCTTAGTTAAAAGGTTTAAAACACTAAGGTTGTGATTTCTACTTATTGCACTCTTAACTGTTTTCATGGTAACATCAATGAATTTGTGGACTTCACAAAAAGGAAAATACAGTGGTCAGTAAAAAAAAACAACATAAAACAAAGTAAAATACTTCAGTAATGACAATTAAAATTTTAAAATGTAAAGTAACTGTCATTTACCATTAAGCATTTAAACAAATGCATTATGAACAAAATTTTCATCACTTAAACAAACAGTATTACAACAAAGTTTGTTCTAAATCGATAAAAATATTTTCAATAAGCCTTCAAGAAAAATAAAACAAAATACTAGTTAACCCCCTTCAGTACAGACCCTTAATTGAAAGTTTTACCAGTAATTGTTCACATATAATAAAAACTGTCAACTTATTTTGATTCCAACAAGGAGGGGGGGGGGGGAGCAGTAGTAGTGACAAACAGCTGCTACAAGGATGTTCGATCAATAACACCTTTCAGTCATGTACTATATCGATAGTATGATGAGTGACAACAGAACTTTAAAGTTTAAAAAAAACTATTTACCACTAAACCTGATGATTTTGAAGTCAACTCATTTCTGACCAGGAATTCACGCTTTGAATTTTACTGACCGAATCATTCCGAGTACTTAGGAAGGCTGTGGATTATAAGGAAACATTTGGGTACTAGTTCACATAAATTCTGCACGGATTACGCGTGATTCACAATCACTTCGATCACACTTGTTCATGGAATCCTGAAAATAGCGGAATGTTGCTGTCTTTTATGACGTCAGCTATTGCCTCCACCGTACAATCCCTTTTCATCCATTTTTGAAAATAAACCTGTATTCACTTCATGGAACTTCCTTATTGACAATTTATTAATGAATTATGTATTTTCTAATTTTTAATTATTAATTTTTACTATAACGGTTATTACTCTGAAAGGGGGAAAAAATATATATAATGTTTGAGTCGTCCTTCAAGGCCTTTAAAAAAAATGCTTTTAGAAATAAAGTGGCTGTAAATTCGAGTTTTTTAATAGAAGTTGGAATAATTGAATTTATAATTTATTTTAACAAACCTTTTTTATTAATCAATAAAATGTATCTATTAATCGTTATATTGATAAATATTTATTCAAATAATGTCCAATCCCAACGGGACCCATAGATCTACCAGTCAATTGGATTATATTGTTAACTTAATATTTATCTTCTCATTAATATTTAACTTAAAATTTATTTTCTCATTTAGTTTAGTTTTCAGTTCGCTCTGTGATTATTACTTTGCTATGTGCTTATTAGTCAAAACTCTGTGTTAATAATTGATTAACAGTGACATTATAAACAGTTGGACATTTTTAAGTTCACGGATAAAGAGGTGAGTTACAATTTATTAATAATGAAGTGATAAATTAGTGCTCGTTTGAATAGCCCATGTGGCTGTTAATTCCCTTGCCGTTCTTATCTTATTTACGTTAAGTTCACGGCCAAGGTTTGTACACTAGCTCGTTTTCGTCAGCTGGTCTCAGTTCGAAACCAAAGACTTATAGAACTTCTTCTTTTTTGTTTTTTTTTTCTTCTCCAAGAGACAGTTTATTTAATTTGTTTTCCCTTGTTTATTTATTGTCAGAAATGTTTTGTTTTATTTCTGTTTCTAAGTTTGTATTTTTTTTTTCTTTTTAATAGTTTGTAAATTCTTATCTTGTAATTTTAATATTTAGGTATATATCTATATTTTTTTTCTTTCTTTTCTCTTCTTCTTATCATAAAATGGAAGATATGAATTTGGACGAGAAATCTTCATGTGAAGATTCAGAGGATGAGACACCATTTTCCGAGGTTAGCGAAACTGATTCGCAATATCTGAAAAGATGCTCGCTTCAAAAACGTCACAGAAACTCTGCCTCTGGGTCAAGTGGCAATTCGCCTAACAAGAAGACAATTAAATCAGCAAAATCTAAACAGACATCTGAAAAAAAAAAAATCACCACCCAGAACTAGAAGCAAATCAAACACCGCAAAAACAGCTCCAACTGCACCAAATACCACAGCCAGCAATAATTTTGTTCTTTGTAGTAACTCATCTAACAAGCCTCCGGTACCTCAAGGTTTTACTGACCCCGGGCCGCCCCCTATTTTTGTCTCTAAAATTGAAAATTTTATATTATTCGTTCAAGAAATTGCCAATCTTATCGGACAAACCAGTTGCTGTTTTTTTTTTTTTTTCTCGAGTTAATGACATTAAGATTAACACGAACTCTAAAGAAAATTATAAAACACTGATAAATTATTTTACGACTAAAAATATGAATTTCATTGTTACCAACTGAGACAAGAAAAGGCATATCGGGTGGTATTGAGAGGATTGCACTCAACCACTCCCATATCCGTTATCAAATCTGATCTAGAGGAAATTCGACATAACGTTAGGCATATAGCATGCGTGCTACATCCAACGCAAAAATATCAATTGCCACTGTTTTTCGTTGATTTGGAGCCTGCAAGTAATAACATCGGCATATTTCAAGTTAAGAGGCTTGTTTATTCCACAGTAAAATTCGAAGAGCATAGACAAAAACCTGTCATAGTTCAATGCACCAAGTGTCAAGACTTGGGGCACACAAAGACCTATTGCCATCATCAGGCGAGGTGCGTTAGATGTGCCGGGCCACACGCATCTAACAGTTGTCAGATCCCTCGAGACCAGCCTCCTAAATGTGCTCTCTGTGGCGAAGACCATCCTGCAAGCTATAAAGGATGCATAGTCTATAAAAAACATTATAAGTTAAGAACTCAGAACGTAGCCTTAAAATGTAGTCAACTAAATCAAGAAATTTACATCCAGCCACCAGAAATTGAAAATATTTCAAATTTCCCTGAGTTGCCAAAACAAGCTACCCATTTAATACAACAAGAACCAACTACTTCAACTGAAATCGCCTATCCTTACCAGGACTCTACCAAAACAAACACCCATACCACCATCAAGAAGCAGCAGCCTCGATGCCAGGCGCCTCAGGCCTCCCAAGCTAAACCTCATACACCCAATCCTCTCATATTTCATCCTCCGCGTCAGCAAATTTCTCCTCACCATCTACCTCTACAAGTCAAATTACCGCCACAGCATTCGCACCCATCTGTAGTACCGTCGAATCCAGACATACCTCGTACACAACAACGAATCCCCCTCTCAGTTAACACTAGTTACCCGCCATCTGAACCTATCCTAAATCCACTTCACAATCAACATCCATCTGATCTAACCATTCTATCATCCTTCCTATTGGACGTCCAAAACACCATAAAACCTCTTATCACTCTACTCACCAGAATCCTGACCGAAATTCCATTTAATTTCCCTCGATGAGCACAAAGCCCCTAGCTATCCTTTTATGGAATGCTAACGGACTACACAACCACCGTGACGAATTTGACATATTTGACATATAATATATATACATAAAATATACATATGTCAAATATACATATTTGACATATTTAACTTGACATATCTTCATGACAATCACATTGATATAGCTCTACTGACTGAAACGCATTTCAAAAAACGGACACATTTTCACATACGAGACTACATCGCTTATAGATCTGACCATCCAGACAACACTGCCCACGCCGGTTCTTGCATCCTTATTACATACATCTTTACCCCATTCCCTTATTCCTTCCACTCCAACTGACGCCATTCAATCAACTTCTGTAATCCTTTCAACTCGTCCTTTCCATTTCACATTCTCAGCTGTATACTGTCCTCCTGGTAATTCCCTCTCCTTTAATCTCCTTGATACGTTGTTCCAATCACTCGGATCGAGCTTTATTGCTGGAGGAGATTATAATGCAAAACATAAACGGTGGGGTTGTCGAACATCCAACTCCCGCGGTACCATCCTTTCCAGTGTCTCATCTTCTAATAGTTATTCAATCCTCTCGCCCATGAATCCTACTTATTGGCCAACATCCCTCAAAAAACGTCCCGATATCCTGAATATATTTATCACCTCCCAGATTTCCTCCTCCCAAACTATAATCAAATCTCTGGATGATCCTTCTTCAGACCATAGTCCAGTTCTGCTTTCACTACATTCTGACTTTGTTACTAAACCATCACCTCCTAAACTGATCACTGGACGAGTAAACTGGGACAAATTTCGTGATAATTTGAATAACAAACTAGACCTCAAAATTCCGCTAAAGACAAAAGAAGACATTAATGGTGCCATAGAAAAACTGACATCATCAATAACAGACAGTATAGATAATAACACCTTTATTAATAAGATTAATAACCCACAAAATACTAACTTGCCACAGCCTATTCGTATCTTATTAAAGGAAAAACGCAGAGCAAGATCGAAGTGGCATCGAACTAGATACCCAACAGAAAAAACACATTACACCCAACTGACTAACAAACTGAAATCAAAAATTAGACAATACAAAATTCAAAATTTACTAAATTTTACTGAAAAACTTTCACCTACCGATAAATCACTATGGACGAACACTAACAGAATCCTGAAATTTAAAGACTGCAACCATCCACTACTCACTGAAGCCCAAACCTGG